TCCCGCAACAGTGTCCTGTTAGAGTGACCCACAAGAGTGTCCTACAAGAGTGTCTCACAAGAGTGTCCCACAAGAGTGTCCGACAAGAGTGTCCCATAAGAGTGACCCACAAGAGTGTCCTATAAGAGTGTCCCAGAAAAGTGTCCTACAAGAGTGTCTCACAATATTGTCCCAGAGGAGTGTCCCACAATAGTGTCCCGTAAGAGTGTCCCACAAGAGTTTCCTACAAGAGTGACCCACAAGAGTGTCCCACGAGAGTGTCCTACAAGAGTGTCATTTGGACGTATGTAGCTTTTTGAAAGTGTTTGCATTCGGGTTCGTGGGTTGGTGGTATTTTTTCTGCTTTTGCTTGTCACGTTGGGCTGGGATCCATGCCGCGCTCTGGGCAGTGGCTTTGATGCTGTGGTTGTGGTGTCCCCATCCGGTGTCGACGGAGCGGCGGAAACGGCGCAAACTCTACTTGAGTGGACTGCCATTAGGTCTGAAATGTTGGAATTCGACCCCAAAATTTAACTCATACTGATATCGTGCAAATCCATGTTAAGATGTTAAATCCCATAGTTCTTAAATTGGGTGCAGCAATTGCAAGTTGGACTCATACTGATATCGTTGCTGTCGTTGCCGTGATGGTTGCGCCGGTCCTTCATGCGGCGGCTTGGGTTCTAGGATGGTCTGGGGTCACCAGGCGAGCACTCTTCCAAGCGAAAGGCGAGGAAATTCTTTGGTCGGACACAAAGTATCGGTGAGGGGAGGTCTTCAGGCAGTGGGCGATGCGCTTCTTGCGCATCAGGCAGTGGAGGTTCCAACAACTTCTCCTCAACTTGTGGGAGAAGCTGTTATTTCCAATTGTTCTTGGCGGGGTCGTTCCACAGTTACAAGGTTCCACTAGACTAGACATGGAAGTTGCAGATGCTCCAGAACGATTTGTTCACAAAGGCAACAGACGGTGTCAGCTGACGGAACATTGAATGTTTCTACCTTGCAGATCTGCAGAAGGACGAAGCCATGGTGGTCTTAGAGTGATTGGAAGACACAAGCACTCGTAGAGCAGAGGCCTCATGAATCTTTGATCATCTTTCTATATCGAAACATTGGTGCTTTGAGTTCAGGTTCTTTGCAGCTTTCGCCGTGAAACGAACAGAGATGCTCGTGAAACCTGACTGTCCTCTGACCTGAGATGAGACAGCGGGCGCAAGAGAAAAGAGATGCGACGACCGCTCATGTATCATTTGACGAAATGCAACAAGTAGGTTGACATGCTGCTTGACACTCACTGAATTGTATCGATCGTATTTGCTTTGCCAACTGTGCAACCACTTGCGGAAATCAGCCATGGGGCTCTAGAAGACCTTAATCTACGCTAATCTGAGTTACGTATTGTAGATCCCGGACATGGTGCGGCCTGGGCTTCTCCTGGGCGATGTGTCCTTGAATCATCCTGAGTCACAGGCATTCTCAGCATCCAATCCGCGGGAGACGCTGAACCAATCCAGTGAGAAGCTGCTTCAAGGGCTGTTGCTGGTGGCTGTAGTGGGCCTTGGACTCCGTGCACTTCTAGCAGCAGTGCTGGCTGCATGGCTTTGCATTGTTTGGAAAGAAACACTCGAAGCATTTGCTTCTGAGGTCGAAACATGTTTGTTTAGGAGGGGGTTGTATGGTTGTATTGTCACCAAGCTGCAGAAACTGAGTTTGTGCGTTGTTAGCCTGACCTCTCCTCAATATTCATGGCTGAAGCTAAAAAGGCAGGTCAATGCCCCGGCTTTCTCCATGGCTTTCTATCCATGCAGTTCATGCGTCAAGTGGTGTCAACCTCATTTTCCTTTTCTAGCGGACGCCAAGCCCCCTCTGAGGCTTGCCAACATCGTTCTACCAGTCAGGTCGAAGGCAAGGGCCTTGAAGTGGTGCCACTGCTCTTCTTCGGCAAGGTCATCATCAATGTGACTTTGAAGGTCCTTGCGACGACCAGCCATGGCATCCTAGCTGCGGAACGGATGCATGTTTTCACTTCGACTGATGACTGGTGGATCTCAAACATCCCCACGAACGGCAGGTCCAGGTGGGCCGGTCCATATAGTGGATTTCCAGATGACCCTCGAACGTCTAGCTTTGGGACAGACCTCGGCGTGTAGGCAACGGACCTTAGAAGGCTCTTTTCTCATTCTCGGGGCACACTTCACGCGGACCGGTGTCCGCACTACCACTGTGTGGAAACCACGGGTTCAGAGTCATGGAAAAGGCTCTTTGAACGACAGGATAGACCACCTAGATGAAATTCTGCTTGTTGATACGATACTACAACAGTTTTGAAGAAACGCTTTCCAAGGACTGCTGGCAGTGAAGTGGATCTTGGCAGGGGAGCCAGCTGGATTTGCCTTGGTGGCCAGCTTCGTCCTAGTGGCGGTGAACACGCAGATTTTGGTGCCCAGATTTTGAAGATCAGGGTGCGGATGGAGACCGCTGATGTGATCAGGGTCAAGTGCATGGGATTTCTTTAAAACAAAGCGAATATGCCTATTTGCAATCTCAAAGGTCATGTTTGTAGGGCGCATGTAAGATTTGACAATCCCGTTGGTGTGGGTTGGGCCAGACGCGACTATAGAAGCAACACATTTTGGAATTTTTGAGATGTGACCAGCTTTGTTTGGTGGGTGTTTGTTTATCTCTTTTTCCGCAGATATGCGCCATCTTCTCTTTCAGCGTTATAGTTTTTGCAACTTCTTTGGGTACGGCTCACAATTTGGGGCCGCAGCACCGAAGACTTTTGTGCAGACAATCTCCAGCAGCGCAAGGGGATGGAAGTTTCTATAGAAAGTGTGGAGCACGAAAAGACTAACGCAAACAGCTCAGGTGTTTCTTATGTATCTTTCAATATGAATGGACGGTTGGGTAGGGACATATTGCGAAGATGTGAAACATAAAGTTGTGATCCTCTCGACCTTGATGCCACTGTGGCTCAAGTTGGGAGGATATGTTTTTCCTTTTCGCCATGCCGTTGTGCGGGCGAAGGGAGAACAGTGGCTGCTAGGCGGGGCCTCTTGTTTGAGACAAGGGCCCTGCTCCAGCCATGAGGCCACAGCGGGACCAGCGCAAGCGAGCACGGCCCGCCCCACAGGGTTTAGAACCCAAGGCGAGGGTTAGTGGATCCAAGCGACCGAGGACTCCATCGCCGGGGCCTTCATGGTTAGCATCCTCGACATCCCAGCCGATCAGGTCCGGGCCTACACCTTCGACATGCTCCGGCGCCATGAGACCAGATCAGGCTATGGCAGACGATCTTCAAGACCTTCTGGTCGACAGGCCGCGGATTCTGATGAATCACTTCGTCGATCGGGTGGCCCAGACCTGTGAAGATGTCCCGGGACTCTGGACTGCAGGTGGTGACTTGGTGGAAGAACTGGAAGGGCGCCATGGTCCACTGTCGGCCGAGGTGGGCTCCACGATTGTGTCATTCTGGACCCGAACCTCGCAACGCGCCCAGTCCGCCCACAAGCACCACCTAGATGAGATTTGCCTCCGTCGCCACTCGTCTGCGGCTACGGCCATTCCTTCTTTGCCATCGAGGCCTACAGAGGAGGAAGTGGAAGCAACCAGGCCTGTGGGCGCTGCTTGCTTGAGACTGGTGAGGTTCGCGACCCACAAATCTTGACAAGCCTGGCTGCCACTGACCCGTATGTGAGAGTACAAGCCCTAAAGGCTGCAAAGACCATCAAAGACCCAGACGCTCTTCGAAATGCTGATGGAGGACTTCCTGAATATCCACGAGCTTGGTTTGGAACCAGCTCACCTTCAGGATGCAGCACGCCTGCAGCTTCTCAAAGAGGCGGTCATGCCAGCAGTTGACAAGCTGACCGTCGCTCGGCTGGGTGCACTCATCAGTACCATGAGGCGCTGGAAGACTATGCCCTTCGACTGGGGTTCGACTTGCGAAACCCGTCACCTCTGCAGCTGAACGCGTTCTTCAAGATCTTCAAGGACATCGCTCGCGGTGGGCCCAAAGCTGCCTCTGCCATGTATCACTCCTTGAACTGGTTTCGGTCTCAATATGGACCGGGATTCCACTTGGACCATTGGCTGGTGCAGCCGTTCAAGCTGCTTCCCGTGGGGCCAGATGGATCGATTCCACTAGCAACCTGTCTGATGGGTTGTCACGCTTGGGCACATTGCAGACATTTTCCAAGAAATCATTAAGCGCTCCATTTTTGTGGCTAGACCCGAGGATCTCCAGCCTTTCATCTCCTTATTGAACAGTGCGTGATGACATTTTGAAGACTGTGGGTGATCAGAGATGACTTACGAAGCTAGTCTGTGTGTTTTGAAACCACGACTGTTACCCAGTGTTTTTAACACTGCTGTTCACTATAGGAGCGTGCATTGGTCTGCGAACCTCCGCCCCAATCACAAGAGAGTCTTCGTCTGACTGCCGCGGAAAAGAAGATGCTTTCACTTCTACGCGCGGTGTCCCCCCTTTATGTTTCTTATTTTTCAATATGAAAAGAATGGTTGGGTAGGGACATATTGAGATGCGAAACATAAAGTGGTGATCTTCTCGACTTTGATACCATTGTGGCTCAAGTTGGGAAGATCTGTTTTTCCTTTTCCCACCCTCTACCGCCCTTGACACCCTCTGCGGGTACTATAGGGCTTGGGCTTGGGTTTCCTGTATCTACCCCCGAGGGTGATCAGGTAAGATCATCAAAGATGACTTGCAAAGCTAGTTTGTGTGTTTTGAAACCACGACTGTTACCCAGTGTTTTTAACACTGTTCAATATAGGAGCGTGCATTGGTCTGTGAACCTCCGCCCTAATCACAAGAGAGTCTTCGTCTGACTGCCACGGAAAAGAAGATGATTTCACTTCTACGTGGGGTGTCCGCCCTTTATGTTTCATGTGTGTATATTATTTCTTCACGCCGCACAATGTTTGCTTTACTGTGGGGTCATGTGCTTGCAGTCTTTGCCTTGATTGTCGGTGAAGATGGTTGAAGCACAACCTGCAATTTGTGTCCTTTTATCGGCGTCACATACAGTTTTTGGAAAAGAGGTGTATTATTTGAACACGATGCTGTGGATGTCACATGTTTTTTCAGCATCGCAATTCAATGGGGCCAGTGTTTTGAGAAGCAGAACTGCTAGAACCAGTTTCACCGAAATTTTGGGTTTGAGTTCTTTCTTGTTTATATACGTATTTGTTGTGTGCTTTTGCTTTGATGTGCATTGTTGAATTCTTCCACCACCAAGTCAAAATCCTGCGCGTAAATTTAAAAACTCTATTCTCAGCAGGGTTTTTCTATTTTCTATTGCCCCTAAGTAGGATGTGGCATCGCATCCGAACGTGCGGTCCGCGGGGCGTGAATCGGTCCACTCGAACGCTGGCCAGCTGGCCATCCATAGCCCATCTATCATGGGTGTTTCAAGGTATCGGGTTGTGCAAGTCGGATTTATGCCGTCGGGTGCTAATTTAAGACAAGCATGGATTGAGTTGGAGGGTCTTGGAAGAAAACACATGGCTCGTGACATCCCTTTTGAGGTGACAGTCGTGCAAGTGGGGCACCTTCGACATCTTCTGCTGAAGCTGGGCCTCACCAAGCAAGCACGTGTGAGCTTCGCTGGTGTTGGCAGCTTGTGGCAGGTGCCCGGCGGCAGGGCTTGTGTAGCTGTGAACGGGATAGCCACGCTGTGCCTGGTGGTGCATTTGCACCAACGCCCTTGGCAGTTATTGCCATGGCTTGCCACGGCTTGCGGAACCCTGGTCTGGGCCAACGCAAGCTTTCAAGGTGTTGGCGTTACGACGTGGAACGACTTGAAACCCATAGCCACAGATGATTCAGCAGTGATGGAGGCAGAGGAGTTCATGGAAAGCCTGGGAGTAGCAGAAAGTGCGCTGCCCGACACTGCGTGTGGCAAATGGCTTGCCTTGGTCGCAAAGATGTTCACCGTGGGCAAGGAAAACGCCATTATGTTGCAGAACCGGCAGGTCCTGATGCACCACGCTTTCCCTACTAACCCAACCTTTCGCTTCTTTCACGGTGTGGTGATGGTGCTCTTCAACCTTTGCTGCTTTGGCGTCCCGGCGGCGCTGGTGGCTGTTTCAATGATGCAGGTACCTGTGATCCATGATCTCCAGGTCTCTGGTGGGGCGCTTTACCCATCGCTCAGTCCCCAACAATCGCACTACTATGTTCGCCTGAACGATGGATGGACAGAGGGAATCAGCTTTACCTTCGAATTAGACGTGGGCAAAGCCTCGTCCTTCGAGTTCTGTTGCCCATTTTGCGTCGAACTCACCGGCAGCGAGCATGGAAATTCATTGATCCTGAAGTCTGAGATGCCCAAAGAGAATTTAGGAACTTGCCAACTGAACCTCTTTGGCCTTCGATTTCAACAGTACCAATTCACGGCTTTGGCCTTGCAAGGCCTTGAAATGGAGAGCCGCCTTGACACAGAGATCGGGCACTTTGAGCCACCCTTCCAAGCCGGATTGCAGACATACGAGTCTTCATTTGTTTCCAAATCATCAGCCTCTATCTCACTGCGGGTCGTGCTGGAATTGGACATGGAGAACACGAAGGTGGGCAGGCATAGTCTCCTAAACCGGGGAGCTCTCGAGGTGTGCCCGGAAGAGTTGGAAGCTACTAGCGCCGAAGATTCATCGTTATTGGGCGTAGGGAGAGAACGAGCGATTTTTTGTTTTCCCGAGCTTTGTTTTGCTGACCCAAACAAACCTCGTTGGCGCAAACCAAGCTAAATAGGTTCTTGCCTCATAGGGTTGTCCTGCCTTGACAGGTTGCCTACACAGCCCGCTGGTGCACCAATCGCGCTTGCAGCAACGAGCTGGTTGAGGGAGAGAAAGAAGCTGACATTACAAAGCCAGCGCAGGTGGGTACTGTGAACTCCCAAAGCATGTACAACTATTGTTTTATATTGTTTTGTTAGAAGGGACGTTTCAGCAAGTTCACCTTCCAATCTGAATGTGTCATCTTGGGGGCATTCATGCACTTGGTGTGCGCCCTAACCACTTGGCCACGGCAGATATTACGCCGTGTGTCAAATCAAAGGTGGCATTGTCAACGTGTTTGTTTTTTCATTGGTTTTAACAGTACCAACCACAGATTTCACGGGAAGCCTGATTTTATTCGTATTTCCATTGGCTTTAGGATGTGGAAGCTCCTGGCCACTTCGTATCATGTCAGGAAACGTGGTGTTGACATCCCGGGAACTACTTTCAACCTGCATTGAAGACGTATTTCTGTTACATCTGATCAACAGCATGTGCGTCCTGTTGTCTCTCCTTCCTACCGCGGACCAACGGGTGTAGTGGGTTGACCTCACGCTCCTACCTGGAACTAAACCACTTGATGGTCAAGGACACATCGGCCCCGCTGAGTTTCACGCAACCCTTCACTTCTGCAGGGCGACCAGTGCTTGCAGCAACTCTTGTGGATTCAGTGGCAAAAGGCTTTGCCTCCACTGCCACTGTTCATATCTCCTTCGCGCTAAACTCGTCTCCTTAACCTATGGCTCAACAATGTTCAACATAAAACTTGGAGATACAAAACTGCGACATTCGAGGCCCCCCGCCCCACCCCACCCCACCCCACCCCACCCCACCCCACCCCACCCCGCAGGGGCTGGGACTGAAGCCGCCCGAAACCACACGGCGCGATATCAGCCGTGGGCCAACTACTTGCTATAGCCGACAATCCCGTGAGAACTTGACTTGTAAGACAAATTACTGGTTCAGGCCGCCAAAAATACTGAATTGTGTCGCTTTGAAACGTGACATGTTTTGGTTTCCATCCAAGTTTGCTCCGCCCACCCTTTGCTGTGAGTGAAGGTTGGGTGCTTCAACTTGACCTTGTGGATTACCTTGTCGCCAGCATCTTCAATGCCCAACGTGAGCTCGGTCTATGAGATTTCTGTGACCGTGATCGACCTGAAGATGAAACTGGATGAGAGACTTTGCTGTGATTTGCGTATGGTACTCGTATGTTTCAAAAGAAGCAACTATTGGGCAGTTGATGATGATCCCACATCCAACTTGTATCTCATTATTGAAGATAGCGTTCACTGCAGTTTCTTGTCTAAACGCGTGCATCGTAGGTTTTTGCAGGTTTTATTGATACCCAGTCGTGTGACTTCCTGTCCTTGCACGCCAGAGATTAAAAATAGTTTGTGTCCGCATATGTGTATATACAGTATATATATATTTATATTGTGTATATGTCTTGTAATGTCTTGTATATTACTATACACATATATAGATATATAGTATGATTATGAAAGCCACTTCCAAAAAACTCAACTGCAATGTCCCAAGTTGCCACAGCGGCACGGAGCCCATCAACAAAAGCGCTGGCCCGATCAACAGCTGCGGCGCGGGGCCCATCAACAGCAGGAACTGGCCGTGGCACTGTGCCCTTCAGCTGCTGTTCCCATCATTAGGCCCAGCAGCCGCTGCCTTTGGAACAGGAACTGCTCTTGCTGGGCTTGGCGCAGCATGCGAAAGGATTGATGCATTATTCACTGGTGGTCTTCCTCAGGCTTTTCTTGTGGGTGCAAGGCCAACCATCATCCAGTCATCTGTCCAGCCCGCTTCAGTAGCAAGTGCATTGATCACCAAATCTTCCATCTTACGCAATCTTCCCCGGAAGTGCTCCAGGAAAATGAGGCCATTTCGTATGACTGCGGGTCTGGTGACCATGTGAAAAGCCACAATCATACATTCACGGAGTAGTTTGTACCTTCCTTCAGTTCTCAACTCCACAAGCCTTGCGTTTGGCTTTTGATTGGTCATCACCCACACCAGCTGCAACAATGATTTCTTGCTCAGACTGGCCGTGGTTGTTGGCAAGAACTGCGGTGCTCCAGCAGGATGGAGATCTGCGCCTCGAAACAAACTCAATTCGTATGGTCACATGTTGAAACAATGTGTTTTATAATCTAATGAACCAAAGCAAAAAACAAGACAAAAGTCACAAGTCATAAACTGACGACAGATCACTCTGGGCACACCCCTCAAAAAGGTAATGTTCCTCGGGATGTAGGTGCTTTGAACGTTGCCGCCTTGATTCAAGGCAGCGTCTGCCGAATCTTCCGATCTCGTCGAATGGCGGCGACGACGACGTCGATCTTTCCGATCGAGATCGTCGATTGTCATCATCACGATTTGAACCTGAAGCTCTGTTTCTCCTGCCACCACAACGGAGGAGGAGGTGGTGTAAATGGTTGACATGCTCATGCCATTGACGTCATGAGTGTTCATGACATGATTTGTAACTTTTGGCTCAGGTCTGTCAGGCTCAGGACATCGCATGCATTCCATGGAGATTCATTCACATATCGGACTGACTGACTCACTCACATATCGGACTGACTGACTCACTCACATATCGACCGACTGCTTACTTCACAGACTCCCCTTCCCAAAAACACACTGTCCACTTCGCGGTGCCTGACACGTGGCCTGACATGGAGGAGGTCTCTGGCAACGATGCGGCTGAGTCTGTGATGTGGTCTCGTGAAGATTGGCCAGAAGGACTCATCATTTCCTATGGGACTGATGCCACCTACAAGACGGCAGTGTATGGAGACAGTGGCCTGCTGTCATCCTTTCAACTCTGTTTTTGGTGGGCCAGACCAGGTCGGTGAAGATGTGCAGCTTCTTAATTAATTGCCTCACTGAAACGCTCCATTGAGGTTCTCGCGGGACTGATGGTGATGCCACAATGGATTGCGCAAGAAGCGGCTGACTGCAGGGCAGTCATTCTCACACACGACATGGAGGCGACTTGGCCTGACAGCGACAGTGTGGCATCATTTCTCCAGAATCCCAAGGAGGACGGCGCCTATGGTTCCTTGACTTAACGTGTTTAGCAATTTTTAGCTTCTGCTTCTTGATTCGTCAGCGCTCAGACTTACTCCTTCATCCCCAGCAGAAAACAGGTCTGCCACAGTAATGTTTGCTGCCGGAGTCGGAGCGGGACACGACCCTGCTGATGCAACAGCATCACCGCCTGCTGATGTTGTGGATTCACATTCACATACCCCGCAGACCTGACCTGCCTGACATGCCCTGGGACAGGCAGAGCAGCAGCATTGGCACAGTGCCCTCCAGCAGCGTCGGCGCTGTGCCCTCCAGCAATAGCACCACTATGACTATGACTATGTCGCCTTGAATGCCGAGCCATGAGATGAGTGCAGCGATTTCACTCAATTTCAATCACAAGAGTGGGCACTGCACCTTCCAAGCCAGAAACGCTGCATTCAGTCATCGCACTGTGGAACTAACTAACTTCACAGCAGAAAGCGCAAACAGACTCGTTGGTGACTTGCTACTTACTTCAGGCTGATGCCGGCTGTCAACTGGGATCTTCACCAGTTGCCACAGACCAATCCTCAACCTCAGAAGAAATGGCAGTGAATGCTTCGCACACCAATCTGGCAACTGACTCAGTCAGCGTACGATCTGGATTGATTCAAATCAATGACACATTTGTTTCTCAAGTCAAGACTTCTGCAAGTGGTGATACAGGACATGACAACACATCTGTCTGCAGACTCACTCAGCCATTAACCAATTATGAACAAACATTTTCGTCAAATAAATACTGAAGAATCACATTCTAAATAGCTTCGCAATTTGTTCTGTAGACAGGTCACACACCTTCAAAAGCCAGTCTTCTGCTGTCATGTCTAAGAACTCTAACTTCAGGCCACAGTCACAGTGACCTTCAGCAAGTCACAGTGACCTGCAGCAATACAGTCACAGTGACCTTCAGCAATACCACAAGTCACAGACAGTGACCTTACCACCCCTTCCCACGCCAGCTTAACCCCAATCATCGTGCCATTCATTGTCGTGCCACTCATTGTCATGCCACTGATTCCACTGTCCATGGTCTTGCCTTCCTCTTTTTTGGTCAGTCCCGGGACGATTCTGGGCAGCAACATAACTGGGGAAATCCTCAAGGCCCAATAACTCCTGAGGTCTTCCAACAGCAAGCATAGCTCGGGGTTTTCTTCAAATCCTCAAACCAGCACCACGATCCGTATTTGCACTGCTTAGCCGCACTGCATTGGCCATAGGCATCTTCAAACAACCAGTTGATTTGCAGCATCTGTTTGCTAGTGAACTCAAACTCAATTTCATGTTCCTCTGCCTCAATGCCCTGGATGCCAGCATCCTCTTGCAGCTTGGCAAGAATCCAGTCTTGTTGCTGAGGCCAGTTCTCCAGGATGAATCTTGAAATCTCATCAATCAAACCCGCCTGACCATATTCACCTACAAATTTGAACACATCCTCTCTCAGTTCAATCTGTACCCAGATTTGTCTACTTCCTTGCAAATATGTGCGTCCACTTTTCCAGAATATGTGTGAAGACTTGAAGAAGAGAGTTGTGACTGTACGATTGTTTCAACTTCTGCACAACCTCTTCCACACTGCTACCGTAGTCAGTCTGCAGCTCTTGACATTGAACTTCCTGAGGAGGTGGCAGAACTTTGGAAATTTGCTTCTTCTTTTCCAGAAATCAGTGTCATGCACTGACTCGCGATGCAAAGGCTTGCCAATGCTTTTTGGAAATAAAGCCCTCGTTTGTAAGTTTCCCCACAACTTTCAGCGTTGCCTGGAAGAAGCTCTTCATGACTCCCACAATCATCAGAAAACTGAGCCTACGCAGTGTCGGACGGTGTCTTGGGTCCCGATTGCTTTCTTTGATCGGCTGAGCATACAGTCGCAGTGGTTCATCGGGTTGGTGACCTTGGTCGACACGAATCTCCATATCTTCAAGTCGTTTTAAGCCTTGAAATTGCAAAGCACCGACTCACACCCTCTTTGCATCATGCTCCTGAACCTTGTTCTCGGGCTCCTCGTCAAAGTCGGGATTGAAGTGTGGATCCTGGGGATCTACTAAACCGTGAGCAGGGTCAACCTGCACTGCCGACATCTGTGGCACAGTGTCCTTCGACGTAGTCTGCTCTAATGATGATGGCTCTGTTTCCATCATCGACGACTTGTCTACTGGCACAGTGCCCACCAGCTGTGAAGACTGAGCGCGATTCATCATCTCCTCTTGTGGCCCAGTGCTCCCCTGCTGATTCTCCACCTCTTGACGTGTCTTCCTGTTCCGGGGCAGGTGACTTGGCTCAACAGGGGTTGCCTTTATCTCATTGTCTGGCTGGCTGCCTGCTAGCTTCCCAATCCCATGGTGGGTTCTCTGACAGTTGCATTGGAAAGTGGTGGCCAGTGCTCCACAATGCCTTGCACTGAAATGCCTTGGTTTGATTGGCTCCCAAGCCCAACTTGCGTAGCCCCTTAGCTCTGTCAAAGGTTGCAGAAGGGTCTGACCATGCGCATGGTCATCCTGGGAAAAAATATTGCGCCCTCGTACACCTTGTTGTAAATACGAGCAAGTTCCTCCTTATACACTTGGTTCTGTAACCGTGTGTACATTCCCACCAATCCCTCAAGGTTTGGCCGCGCTTTGTTTTGACCCTCTCTGCCATAGCAAAGGGGCAAAAGTCCACTCAAGTCCACCACAGCAAAGTCGAAGTCCTCGTCATGACCAACAGGCCACTTGACAGGAACGACGTTCCCGCCATGACAATCCTTGTACAATGCTTTGAGTTGCGCAATGCTTTCGATAATGGCATCAGCTCCCCAAATCGCGCACTGAAGCCACAGTTTTTTCAGAAAAATCCTCGCATGGTCGTGTCTTCGCTCACCTAAGACATGACCTGAAGCATTTATTCCAGGCCCACAACAGGTTGTCAGCAACACCACAGCCTGGTAATGCGCAGGGAATTGTTGAAGAGCATTGGCGCTTACAAAAACGGCAAGTGGCTTTGGCATATTGGCTGTCCTGATGCCATTGGCCTGAGCATGATTCAGAAACCCATAGCTTTTTATTGTCTTAGGATCCGATCCAGACGGAACTATCTTGCATATGATTGATGCCACGGAGGCCTTCGGCATTGCCACGGAGGCGTTCGGCATTGTGTGACATGCTCAAAGTGACACAGAATCTCCCTCTGGTCGAAGAGGCAAAGAGTGACCAAACCACGAGCAGGAAGGTTCTTGATGAATGGGGTCACCTTTGGTCGTGGCCAGTTCCTTTTGTCATGGTGGAACACGAGGTCAATCACTTGACTCGTACCTTTGCCTTCAATGATTATGTTGGAGAGCATGAAAGTCATGGTCTGATGGCAGTCGCCATCTTAGAAGTGACTAGTCGAGTCACCTGTTTCCTTGAACCAGTTAAGGCTTGTTGAGTCACCAAGACATCCAAACAGACTCCTGCGTTGAGTGCAAAGCCAAACTTCTACAACCAACTGAACTGTTTATTAATTCTGCGATTCCAACAAGTCACCAATTCACTTTTTGCTCTGAGACGAAGACAGATACAAAGCTGTGACAACCGTCTTATCGCAGTTTGACCTTGCAAACCAAACGACTGAGTTGGTCCGCCACAATGCAAAGTCAAGAGGTATATTCATCATCATACATTTCAACACTTTTAGACAGCGTGAGACTATTCGGTAGAGACCCATACTAGGTCTGACAGTTTCTTGACAATGCTGCAGGGCACTGTGCCAGTCAGTACAAATTGAGCCTTTGACTCAAAAACTGAGTCCAAACCAATTGTTGAAGCTGGCCAACCACCACACCTCAAACAGCAAACGCAATCCTCCCAGACAAAATGCCCACAGATTGGACCCTTCTCCCTAAAATGAAGGCGTTTGCACTCTTGCCACCTGTCAGTCTCTCAGACCTGATGTTATGCTTCTGCACGACCTCAGCGCGAATTCACTCACCTTTCAATGAACCTTCAGTCACTAGCACAGTAGGACACCTCATTCATTGTTGTGCAATGACAACAAAGCACTTTGCTATTTTTGCACTGCAGGCGCACTGCAGGCCAAAGTCACAGCAGCCAAATTCAGGGCAAACAATCAGTTCAAGCGTTGAGATGACTTCAACAATGCGCATTTGTTTTTACAGTTCTTGTTGATGTTCAGCGCATCCCAAGTCTGAAAATCAGAACTTGTACTGAACTGGACTTACAGGCATTCACTGACACAGGCTGCAACGTGATTCGCTCCTCGGCATGTGTTTTCAATAATGAAGAACCTTTGGCACGGAGCCCTTCAGCAAACTATGGCGCTTGATTCTATTGGCTTTAGTGAATGGCACTTGGCACTGGGCTCGGGGAGCTCAAAATAGAGGTGAGGATTGTTTTGATACCGTTCAAGCGCCTGAATCTCCTGCCCAGTGGAAACAATATCATCGTGAGGTTCGACACCTCTGTATTCAATGCCATCAACAGAGACTATCTTGTACTTGTCCATTGCAAACGCATGGAGAAAGCACTTCCCAATTCTTTATCCAAACGCATCAGTGTCAAATCAAATGGACCAGCGCCTCGATTTTTTTGTATTTGAGTCCATATGACAGAATATGGCTCGCGGCCGCGCCACTGAAAGGGACCGATCTCAAGCAACCCCACTCTTGCCCATTCAGCAAACGCAGTGCCCATAGACAGTGGCTCATTCCTTGCCAAAACATGTCAAGAAAAATTTGCATATTTTCCAATCAACAATTTGGAAGGTCCAATGAATGGAGGGGGTAGTCTTCGTCGCAGTTGACCTGGATTGAATTGGAGTTCAAAACCTACAATGAAACATATTTGGCAGCGTTAAAAGAAACATTAAATGACCTCACTTGGACCAGAACAAACAACACGCGCAGCTGAAACTCGGCTGTGGATCCACATCACTAGGGCAACGCTGTTTAAGATATTCACACAGCTCTGGCCCTGCCGTTTGTTCGCTCCTCCACTGATGCCGAAACGGCCTTGTAAAACCCATATTGAATGACACCCAGCCACTAGCCACTGTGATCAGTGCCTTTGACCCAAAAACGCTTCAATAAAGAGTAAACCCAAACCACCAAAGACAAGGTCCAGATACCAACATACATCCTACCTTTTTTACAGACTCGCACACTATAGGTCAGTGAGCCAAATGTGGCAGAGTTTTTAGGCGAGGCGGAGGGCGAAAAATCTAAGCAGGTGGGGAATTATCTGGTGGGCGCTGGTGGGACGGTGGCCCTCATGTGAGTGTGTTGTTTGGGAACCGTTACTGGAGGACTTGCAAAAGCCATTTGACATACGTTTCACGGCTGTATTAGCTCTGGCCTTTATAGCCGGTAGCTGGGACCCTGAGCACCCGAGATTGAAACATGTCAACTGTGGGATTGGTCAAGATCAATCTCGGTCAACATTTATTGATAATGTATTTTCAATATTTGAGTCGGTCTATGTCGGGCATAAGAAAAAATTGTCAATCGTTCAATATCAAAAGAACCGATATAACTTCGAACATGTTTTCAGTATCATTCTTCTTGCGCCTCTGGGTGTTTACGCCCTGGGTTCTGTGACCAAACAACCAACAAAATTGTCCTACTACTCCACGCCCTGACGATGTAGGATTGCTGCGACCTGCAAGCGGCTTTGGTCTCATTCCACTCCTGCTCTCCAATCGTTTGCTGTGGGACTGATTCCCTTATTTTCAAGCCCGCGAGTTGTGTTTCTTTTTTTCCTCCCAACAAGGGCTTTGTCTCAAGCTCTTTGCTGGCCTTGCACGTGCCCTTTCCAGTTGTTCTGTTTGTGTGGATTATTTTTGTTTTCTCAATATTGGCTCAAATTGTGCTACATGGTTTGGAGGCGTTGGGTTTTTCAGCATCATTGGAGTGTTTGTGCTGGTATATAGCCCCCTTGTCAAGAATTTGCCAAACGGTTCTGGTTGTGTATTTTTTTTGCGGTGAAACCTTATGGTGGACAGACGTGGCCTGATTGATTAGCAGTCCTCATCTCGACCAGAAGCTGTGCTGGCTGTTTTGTCCATTTTTGCGGTGTGGGACAAGAGTCTCGCTATCATGGGCTGTTGCCGTTGCGCTGAGGATAGCTTTCAAGATGTCTGAACTTCAGGCGCAGATGAGTGCGCTGGAAGATCTTGATTCTCCGACCGAAAACTTAAAGGCAGAATCTTGGCACAATCCTGTCAGGTTTGTTTTTGTTTGATGTTTATGGGTTTTCACAGAAAACATAAAGGTGGATCTAGGAACGATATACAACTGAAAGCAGGAAGGCAGGCGGGCAGGGAGGGAAGACAAGAATGGAAAAAACACAAGAGGGAAAAAAACAACGGCCAAACATCTTCAGGCCGTGGAAGCTCGGTTGATTCATGTTTTGCCTTTTTTGTTGAGCAGAGGGGTCTGTGTAGCTCAGGAGCTTGAGAGAACAGTTTTGGAGCGAGATATGTATTTGGAAGCAGCGTACAGGTTGGAGCAGCCAGAGGACGGATTTGAGGAAATGAGGCCTGACTTGACCTTCCTTGCTGTAGGCCTGACTGGGGCTGGCAAGTCAGAACTTTGCCATTGGATGACAGGAAATCTGGACAAGTGTTCTCCCAGTAACAGTATGCAATCGAACACGAGCCAAGTTCAGGAGGTCTTTGCGTATCCATTTGACGACTTCAAATTGAAACCTCACATCAAATGGCTTGATACACCTGGAAGAGGGGACACCAGAGGCGAAACGAATGATACCAAGATGTGGAGCCAGACAATGTCCTTTCTGGTAAATAGGTCAAATTCCGAGTTTGTAGACCGGATCGTTTGGGTGATCAATGCGGCTTGGCAAAGGGCCACTGCAGCCCGCCAGATGATTTTTCGGGAGTTGCGGAGGTCCTTTGGCTTGCATCTCTATCGTCACCTGGATTTGCTCTTTAACTTTCTACCTCATGTGCCGAACAAAACAGCCTATGACAAGGAAGTCTTGTGGCCCCAGCGGTGCAGATTCCTGGAGTGGATTGAAGAACAAGAGATCGAACTTTTGAATTGGAGCAATAAGAGCGTGCTGTGGCATGGGGTTCGACGTGAAATTCATGAGACAGGATTCTTTGGGGTGAGTATTCACCCAAGCTACTTGAAAAAGCTTCCCTCAGCATTGCGATTGTCTTCTCCATATTTGGACCGTTTCCATCCCTTTTCCCACCCAGCTGGCATACGTGAGCTGATCCGCCTCTTTAAGGATGCCCGGAGCAAGAGGCAGAGAGGTGTTCAGGGCTTGCAACTCGACAACCAACATCCACGCATCGGTCCGGGGAAGCTAGAACAGATGGAGGCGATGTCCTACAGATGCGGTCTGGTTCCGGAGAGCGAAGATAACCCTTCGCAGCTTGTGTCTTGTCGATATGTTCGAGTTTCAGACTGGCAGAGGACGATGGAATGCTTGAATACCACTGAACACCAGTGAACACCATCCAGGAACCATGCCCAAGTTTGTAGTAGGGATGGGCCTTGGCAAGGTGCTTTAAAATAGTTTCAAACCCGCATGTTCATCACTACCGCGCTTCATTTTCCCATCATTTTGCCACGCATCACCCCTAGCCAGCTGCAGCTGTACCATGAAGCCGCTGGTGTTTGTTAATGCCGGTTCTACTTGGTTATTTTTGACCAAACCTTAAAAACACCCAACGTCTTTTGACTTTTCCAAGAGCGCCTCAAAAATATGCGCGTCTCAAATCCTTCATAAAATGCTGTTTGTTTACGAGTCTTTTTGCGCTCAATGTTCAACAACCTTCAAAAACTCAGGTTTGTTGGCTGGAAATGGCCCCCCCCGTCCCAGCTAAAGCTGAAATCTTGCGATTGACTATGAGATCCAGAACACACGCCCTTCGGTGCGGGCGGATTTCATGCCCCACTCATATTCCCATGCATTTTCATGTTCATCATTCCCCATCTCATGTCCCATTCATCTTTCAGAACACAGATGCAAAAAGTACGTGGAACACCTGCCCTGCCAACCATCTTCGGCATTGTCTTCATCCATTTCAGCAAGAATGTGAATGTAAGTGCAGTCATATCACACATGTATGTGATGCTGTTTGCCAAAACCTTTTTGGTTCAAGTTCTTGTTGGACAATTGCGCACAGAACGCCCTGACACGGGTGCAAGTACCTCCTACCACCCATTCGCAGGTGGTTAGCCGCAGCGCCCTCCCTACGAGTCGAGCTACAACCTGCAATGTCAAGCTTGGGAAATGCTAGTAGAGCATACTCCTTCGCTGCGCAAACCCGAACCCCTAATTATCGTGAGAACCCAGAGCCAAGCCACAGCCAACGCCACCTTTTCCGAAAAGGATTTGACAGTGTTGCCGTGGTTGTGGGGCACTAAGGTAAAGTGGCTGCATGTTTGTGTTTGTATGTTTGGGTTCAGAAACCAATGAAGGCGGGTTATGTTTTTGGAGGTCTTAAGCATTCTGGCAGGTGCTTAGATGTAGCTTCGGCAGGTGTTTGTAGATGAAGCAAACTTGAGAATAGGAAGGCGTTTTCACGAAAGCTAGCCTTAGCTAGCTGGAGTTGCTCTTGCTTTAGCAAGTTAAGTGACGGGGTGGACGCACCTCAGAAACCTCAAATAATTGATTAAATCAATCTTATGGACCCCCCCCCCCGGGGGTTCGACTCCTCCCTGCGCGCGGTCAAGCATCTGCAGTCTACCACCAAGCAGCTGCAGCAAACCACAAAGGAGCAGCAGCAGCAGAAGCAGCAGACCCAGAGCAGCAGCAGCAGCAGCAGCAGCGGACCACCCAGGGCCAGCAGCAGCAGCAGCGGACCACCCAGGGCCAGCAGCAGCAGCAGACGACCCGGCGCCAGCAGAGCGCCCAGCGCAGCAGCGCCCAGCGCAGCAGCGGAAGCAGCAGCAGCAGCAGACCACCCAGCGGCAGCAGCAGCAGCAGCAGCAGACGACCCAGCGGCAGCAGCAGCAGACGACCCAGCGGCAGCAGCAGCAGCAGCAGCAGACGACCCGGCGCCAGCAGAGCACCCAGCGCAGCGGCGCCCAGTGCAGCAGCGGCAGCGGCAGCGGCAGCGGCAGCGGCAGCGGCAGCAGCAGCAGCAGACCAACCGCAGCAGCAGCAGCAGACCAACCG